TTGGAAGCTGAATAATACAGTGTCTTCAGATTTTCAATCACGTTTGAAAAACAAAAATATATATCAAGTTAAATTAAGCTAAGTGTACTATTTAATATCTCGCAGAGACTCCACCAGACTCGATTTTCATGATAACCACTGTTTAGAGCATCCAATTATCTACAAGAATGAACAAATTAAAAGTCCCCCCAACCTACCCCAACGATTTTATTAAATTTTCAAAACAGTCACCACATGGTTGTTTCCTCCCTGGATATCATTTTCAAGATGGCCGAATCCACCTCAGCAAATCATTTTTAAATCTTAAGTAATCTGATTAATAAACAATGTTAAAAGCACTATTTTAAGTTATTTGAGGTTAATATTATTAACAAAGAAAACATATGAATAGATATTTAATTGTATTTTTTTATTTAAATAGTGAAACTTCCACTCCCATATAAAAGGCCTGTTAGTAGTTAGGGAGTTTGGTCTAAGCTACCTGACACATTTGTAGCATGGAAATATGAAGAAAAGTTTATTTTATCTTCATAATAGATTTAAAATTAAGATTTGTTTATTATTTAGATGAATTGATACTTTGAAATGATTCACACACACAAAAATACTTTGTTTATTTTTTTGAAGGCCTATCCGATAGCCTATCCAGTGACATTGACATCATAATGTTGATCATATTAGCAATTTGTAGGCAATAGTTGAAGCAGCACAATTCTTTTTTAATTGTAGGGATTCTATGAAAAGCTAATGCTACACTTAGCAAACAGAAGATAGAATTGAAAGATACCCCCTATGCAAGAAAAACTCCTACTATAATATACAAATTGTACATTTAATATCAGATATTGATTTGCTATCGGAGATATAAAATAAATTAAATTTCTTAATGGACACATTGGTTCACTCGTCCATGTGCTACTTATTATTTTTCCCCTTTTTAATACGAACAATTTGATATACATTACCCTATATTTTGAAGAATATTGTTCATGTTATGTTCATATTCAAATATGACATATGGAAATTTTACGGCCATTTTGAATATTAATGAGCTCATCTTAAGTACCGTAGAATTTATTATATGAAATCTGTTTGGATCATAATGTTACGACGATCACAATCACGGATATATATGGTTTGTTATGGTTTTCTTCATTCATTAATTCATTAAATAACTTCAATTTCCTGCTCTTTTTTAACATCTCTCCTAACTCTCTGCCCAATTTTTATTTTAGTCACTTTTATATTTTCCTATATGTCTCAATTAACAGAGTTATCCCAAAAAAATTCACGAAAAAAATCATAACTTTCTTTAGAATTGACCTACAAACATAAATTTGGTACCAATGAATTGCATTTTTCAGACCCTATCTAACCAAATAGCTCTTAAAGCTATAAATTCATTTTGAAAATTCTACCCAAGTACCTAGCCATTGGTTTATTTTTACAAAAAGTTTAATTTTCTAATCAAAGTGCCTAACTTAAGTGTAAAGGCAAGTTAAGGCAATGACATTTAAGCGCGATTAATTATTTCTAGTGATATAAAATTAAAACTTTACCTTTACCTGATGGAACTAAATGCGTAAAATAGAGTCTTTTTGTTCATGTACAATAACCATTTAACAAAATTGAACAAGATAAAAAAAAAAAAAGAAGTAGCCTACATTTCATGAATCTTTTGTTGTAAAAGACGCCGTTGTGCGAAAACAAGGAGAACTCTTCTGTCTTCAAAGATACGTTATAAAAGTTGCCCAATTGGATATATTTAGATTTAAATAATTTTTTTAAATTTTACTTTGTCTGATATTTCTTTCTAGACCACTGGATCCATGCACAGCAATTTAAAGGTGGCACTCGCAAGGGACCTCAATATCATGGGGCGCATTCGCCCAGGGCGCTGCTTTTCCTTTGCATGGTTGTGCATCCATTACGGACGTAACGTGGCTAGAATTTTGAGGGTGGGGGTTATGTGGCAAATGTTTGTTAAAACTTAAAATAAAATTGTCAATTTCCTTTCTTAAAATTTGTGACAGTTTCGATTTCTTTCTCAATAAATAGCTGGTGATTTACTAAGACTAAGAGGCAAAAAGCGGGAAAGTAATGAAATATATGTCAGTGGCGTAGCGAGGGGGGTGCGGGGGGTGCGGACCGCACCGGGTGACACCATTTTAGGGGTGACACCCGATTGAAAAATTGCTTATTTACATAGCACACAGTTCTCGGTCTAACCGAGATTCATAAAAGGATAACCGATCACATATACATTTTTTCACAAATGTAACCAATCCAAATGCGGGGTTTATTAAAAGTTCAAGTTTGATGTGTCAGAAATGTAATGACCCTATGTTTAGCTCAGAAAAACACATTCATTATTCCATGCCGTTTAAAGTGTTCGGTAACTTCCTTAAGATTAAGTGACAGGAGGCTATATTTATCTAAATTCTGAGAAATATGGCTTTCCATTGATACCAAATAAGTGTGGTCGGGCGGTTATAAGTATAAAAATCGGTAAAAATTAAAAACATAAAAAATGAATTTTAACCATTTATAGGGTTAAAAAATATATTATTTTACAAAATTTTAAATCTTTTAATGATTAATTCTTATTTATTTAAATTTAAATAAAGAAAAGTTTTTTTGAAGACATATATAATATTATATATCGAAACCCAAAAGGTATCTTGCCTTTCACCAGAAATCCAAAATGAATTTATAAGTGTCCTTGCAAATCATGAGAAGGAGATTCTTATCATGGATATAAAGCCTGCGAGGTATTTTGGAATTATTTTCGAAAGTACCCTTGATATATCACACAGTGACCAGATGTTTGTAGTGATCAGATATGTGATAATCCACAATGGGAAAGTCGAAGTGAGAGGAGTGTTTATTGCATTTTTCCCGTTAAGATGAAAAACGCTGATGACCCCAGTTCTGACATTCTTACAAACTAAAGCATGATGGACTAGACATACTGATGTCCAGAGCTCAAGGTTACAATAATGCTGCCCTAATGTATGGAATCCATGGAGGTGTTCAAGCCATCCGGAAAAGAAATAATAAGAAAGCAATTTTTAAAGGATGTGTGGGCCATTCACTTGTGTGGTCAACACTCTTTTGCAGATAATGCTTCATGTATTACATTATTCGGTACTCTTGAAAGAACATTTTCCTTCTTTGCTGCATCCAATAATCGATGGAATGTTCTAATTGAACACACTGGAATGTCGGTGACAGTCAACAACGCGTTGGAGTGCTGATCATGCTACTCTTAAATCAGCGAAAGATATGTTTGATGAATTTTGGGGAGGCGATTAAAGCTCTATGTCATCACCTTGTAAAAATTTGCATACAAGAGGTTAAGCACAAGATCTTTTACATGTTGTCTGTGATTTCACGTTTATCTGCTACCTTTAACTTTGGGCTGATCTACTTGAGGAAGTTAATCTTACGCAGTATCTGCAGATTTAAGGGATTACTCTTGACAAAGTGATGACAAAGCTAGAGGCATCAAGATTGTTTCTGTACGAGAAGCGCCATCACTTGGTGGAGAATGCTATTGAAAAGGAACTTTTAAAATCAGACCAACATGGAATTTTGGTAGAGAGAAGATTAAGGTTTAAGAAGAGAATGCCAGGATAACAAATAGTAGATGCTGGACTCCATCTGCGAGAAGAAAACATTCTGAACTCCACATCAGATCATCAGTGATCAAGGAAGTACCAGATATTATGTTTGGGTCTGTTCAACCCAAGAGTCTAGCATCAGCAAGTGAAGAAGATTTATTGGTATCCTTTCCAAAATTAACTTCTTTCAACGATGAGTTATCAGAAGATGAACTTTAAAAAGAAATATCAAGGCATAGAAGGCATCTAAAAGCAGCTGATTTCTCAACGTCATGGACTGGTCAGTATTTTATGTTTTGAAATTCAAAGCTGAATGGGACTTCCTAGAATCTCTTCCAATACTCTCGCTTTAATTTTTTCTTACGATATGTGTGTATGTGGCTTCATGTGCGCGGAGCTTTTCAAAACTAAGGCTTATCAAGAAATATTTATGATCCACTATGTGACAGTCAAGGTTTTCTGATGTGTCTCTGCTATTAATTGAAAGTGGTACATTGAAAAACATTGATTTTGATCAACTGATTGTCAGGTTTGCAGCTTTGAAGAAAAGGAAAGGAAAATTTTAAATTGTAAATTTTAAGTAAATACAGCTATAACCTTCGATTTATTTGTTTTGGTTCTTGTTATTGCAATATTGTGGACTTATTTTAACAAGAAAAAAAATCATCATGGAAATTGGGTGGGGGGTGGGGGGGTGACACCATGAGTTTGCCGCACCGGGTGACACCAACCCTAGCTACGCCACTGGTACTATCTATCTGTGTATGAGTATGTGGATTATTCCATTCATGGAATACCAAAATAGAATTCACAACCTTCTTACATGAGATCCACTATCGTTGACCCCCATTTTCATTTCATGGACCCCCCAATTTTTTTTCGCTGACATGGACCCCTTGCAAGTTGTTGTTGACTCCTTTGGGTCGATATAGACCACTTTGGGAATCTCTGGACTAGACCCACAAACGAATACAATTAGCAGGCCTGCCTACAAATGTAATTTATATTTAAACCCAAAACTGTTTTTATTTCGAACAACTATCAATAATGTCATGAAAATTTTTATTTGAAACACAATCAAAAGTTTAATTTACCGTTTCTCGCTTCAAAAATTAAATTATTAATCGACCTAGACTTTTCATGTCATAATAATATTAATAATAGTAAGGCAGGCCTATATTTTAATGAAGATAATCGATCCCCGATCTTTACCGAACCAAAAAGTAGCCTGCGCGCTGCTGATTTTAAAAATAGTCGGCAGCCAAACCTGTTTGGCGAGATGGCAGTGGAGCTATCGTACGCAAGGTATTTCTTTTATTATGTTATGCTCGGAGAATCGTTGAATGGCATAGCAAAACCCACATATCAGGTATTTTTAGAAAGATACAGTTTTCGAATGGGCAGGGCTGTCCTCTTTGAGTTGTCGTTGACATAGAATGTTACTTGTCTCTCGTTTCTAGATTGCTAACCGGCTGGAAAGATTGTCAACGAAAGAAGTCTGTTCTGTTTTCAGAAGCGGTCATTGTCATCTTGGAAGGATATTACATCTCAAATAAAGGTAAGAAATTCACAAACTAAATTAATGTTACTTAATTAACTAACTTGCTTTGTTGTAATCTAGATAGTTGATAGAGGCCCTCTATGACTATTCCTTAGCCACAGACTAGCCTTGCCTTGCCTTAACGATAATAATTTATTAATAATATTGGGACTATAAACTATAAGTGCCTAAATTAAATAACATAAGTTTAATAAGTAGTTTAAGTTGGTATACTATCTTATAGGCTATTATATAAGTATTCTAACTTAGCGTCTAAGCCAGTGAAAAAATATCTTATTAGCCTATTTACCAATAATGTTCACGTCAAATCCACGGTAATGTGAAATATTTAATTTATAATATTAATATTAGTTAATATTAAAATTAAATTTAAATCAATCAAATCAATGTATTGTAGGCCTATTTATAAGCTTTGCTTTAGACTTAAATGCATTATGCATTGATAGTTGAACTCTAAAATTTATCATTAATGTTATTTACATCATACAAGATTTGTATAATAAATTTGAAGTCTAGATCTGGTATCTGTTTTTTTAAGTTAAATAGACAAAAGTATAAAAATAAAGGCATATTTAATTTATTTAATTTGAATTTAGGTCTGTATCTCTTGACATTATATGATTACTCAAAATTGTGTTGCAGGTTTATTTAGTTTCAGAATTTGAGTGGAGGAATGTCGTTAAGTAGCTAATTATAAAATTCAGCCAGCAAAAAAATTATTTAGCTCCTTTAAAGAATCTTTGTAAATACTTAGGCAGATCGATAACAGTTTATCTTTGTCTTGCTGTTCTTAAAGCTATGAAGCTTGACTTGTCTGCTTAGGCCCTCAATGATTGAGATTATACTACTATCTTAGGGTCTCAAATTATGCAGTTCTTCCACATGTTTTTTAAAATGGGTCGGGTGTTATTTTTGCATGTCCGGTACACATTTGAGTCATTCTTTGCCCACTTTCTATGATTCAATGTTTCTTTAGTTTTGTTCATTTCATTTTTATATGACATTATTTCTATTTAGTGTCAAATATAGCAATACATCACACGCTAAGATTAAAAAAAAAATATAAAAGTAAAACTGAATAATACCAGGCGAAATGTACTATTATCCTGTAAAAGAAATAATTTGTGCTACAGGAAGTTTCTTTAAAAACCAATTTAAAAAACCCTCCTCCCACTTCAAAAGCATTAATTTATTTAATGTGTAAACTTTATTTATTTATAAAATGTGTTAATGTAGGCCTAACTGTTACAGTTAAAAAAAATAGTAAAATGTATAGAATCCAATTAGGTATAAACAAAAAAAAAAAAAGGGGGGATTTTCTCAATTTTACACCAGATTAAGTTGTTACAATAATATCTCATGTTTAGATGATATGTGAGAGGGGCGAAATATTATTGTGATTTACAGCAGTAATTTGTTACCAATGTATTTTTTCATCTTTAGATGTGGGCTTTAAATAGCATCCTCCTCCTATTGTTGGCTTTGACTTACAGTGTGGCTGGCCAGTCATGCTCCTCATCTTTCACTACAACTGAGTGCTACTTTACAAGTGCAGTAACAAGCCAACCTTCATTCGCTGAAGTAAACAAATACTTTGTAATTGGAGGATTGTTTGATGTCCATGAAAAAGGAAGCACATCAGATTTATGCAGTAGTAAAGTCTCTACACAAGGCTTATTAAATTTGCTTGTGAGTATGTCAGCAACTAAGTTGCTTGTTAGATTGTGAAATAATGTCTTTTTTTATTGATTTTGCTTTGAAAGTTTGACAGAATTTTAAGTATATTGTCCAAGGTCGTAAAATAATTTATTTCTTTGATATGTGTGGATGATGACAGATTGATGTTTTCGTACCATTAAATCCTAAATTAGGACAACTCAGTTTTACTACATCTAAAAATTGCACAAATTTGTGGCAGTGTTTTTACTAATAAATTAAATATCTTCAAAAAGTTTTGGACTTTGACTCTTAATATATTTTAAGCACCTCCCAGTATTTATTTCTGTGACTGTGATGTTAAATGTATCTTGTAAAACACTCAAAGATTTAGCAATCCAGAATTCCTTTACTTAATTTTTTTTACTGAATTAGGTTCCAATGAAATGCAGACAATCCATGATTTTAAAAAATCTTAAAAGTTGGGATAGTCTTATCTATTATTATTTTTTCACTAACCTGGTGAAAATTCTGAAACCATGGGACTTTGCAAATTTGCTATACATACCCTTTATCGCCAAGGAAGACCAAAAATTCATTAATAGACAAAAAATACTTTCAAGGTTTACCAGAGCACTGTGTCTGTTTTCTAGCAAAGATCCTTTAAATTTTTTTTTATTATTAAAAACATACCTCTCAAATGTCTAATGTCTCCTTCCCACGAAATGATCATCAAACGCAATTATATCATGTAAACTGCTTTTCTTTTAGATGCATACCATTATAAATAATGAATCCCTCCGGTTCTAGGATATGTAGGAACAGAGCTTTTGTTCATGAGACTCATGGGTTGCACTTTCATATCAAACTGTATGTTAAAGGTTGCTGTGGCTTCTAGTTGATAAATTAAAATATTCGGTGAAGGTGTTTGGGAAATTGATTGCTGACCTTAGTCTCAACAATTTTCTAACCAACCATTACTTTTCATTGCTTCAATGATTAAACATGTTTTTATTATTATAAAATGACATTTTCTCTTCCAGGCCTTCTTCTGGGGTGTTAATCAATTCTCCACTCTCTTAGACACCACACGAGTATCTGTAGGTGCTGTTGCATTTGACAACTGTATGCGTCCTGAATTGGTATGTTTTTAATAGAACCATTTGATCTGAAAAATTAAAACAGAAACTCTTGATAATTCTTTTAGAACCATTAAAGCAGGCTGTGTAGATGAACTTGAATTGTATATTTATTTTGTTCAGAATTCAAAAGTAAAAAAAAATAAATTTCATGTTGAAAGTAAGTAGGCTACCTTTGCAGAAAAAGACTATGGTACTAATGATATTTTTTTGTAACCTTAACTAGGTTAATGGAAATATTCAAATTTAAAAAAACAAATCTGTGTTCAAATATAAATTATTTATCAAAATATTCATATTTTGTTACTCATTTGCTAAAAATAATGGTGTTCATCATTATTCAATTTAACAAGCTTGTTCTTGTTTTTTTTCAAAGTCTTTGGAACAGCTTGATTGTTAATAGTAGTTTCTCTTTCTAACTTTGTCAGAGATTCTTTTCATGTTTAGCACAAAAAACACAAGCAGGACTTTAATTAACATGAATTTTTTCATTGGAATGTGCAGTTATTTTTAAAAGACATGCATATCAAAACGCAAGTTTAAAAATTTGTATTAATTTGAATTGCAAAACATTTTCACATTTTTGTTTCTTTTTCTCTTACCATTATTTTTATTCAGTCGCTAGAGCACTTACTGAGCTACTCTAGATGTGATATACATATACAAGGAATGGAAGCATCAAACCTTGTAGCTTATGTTGGACCTTACACAAACGAAGATGCATTGAGAACAGGAGCGATAGCCTCGGACATTGGAATAACACTAATTAGCCCAACAGCTAATACCATGGGTTAGAAATGAAGTGCAGTTTCCTTTTATTTATTCAAAGTTTCATAAATCTTACACAACCCTATTTAATTAAAATATCTGATAAAGTTTTTAAATTAAACAACACAAAAAAGAAATAAAATAAGATAAGCTCTGGTACTTTTGGGTATATTTTTCTATAACAGAGCATTATGACATAAAATTTTCAAGTAACATTGTAATTCTTTTTTAATGCACAGAACTGAATTCTGCAAACCAAAAGACGCTCCTTCGACTTAGTCCTCCATTCTCATACGATTTGAAAGCAATTGTGGAGTTTCTTAAAAATGTCAAGTCTGGCTATGTTATGATTGTTTATGCCGGGGATGATGCCTTCTGGAAAGCTGCTTTCAATGAACTGACCACTCAAATGGACAAAAGCATCTGTATCCAATTCACTGCAGACCTTAGTAAAACTACTGTGAGTTAAACTGGAAGATCTAAATAAATTAAAAAAAGAGAACATTACTGTATTAATCTGAACATTTTATTTAAAACCTGTCTACCAAAACCATAGGATAACATTTTGCCCTTAGGGTGGCAAGGGGGTATCATTGTGATCTGCAGTAGGAAATCCATTCCGAAACATCTCAGGGTGCTGCTTCGCTGAATATGGGGCGGGGAGGGATTTAGTGTTCCCAAGGGGCCTAATTAGTGCTTCGGCTTGTGCTGCTTGCATCATTCATCATGAATGATTTTCAGTTACAGATTGAGTGATTTTTGACAAACAAAATTCATAGGTCATTAATTATGTCATATTTTGAAAAAATGCATGTGGTTTGGATTTATTCTTTTAACTACGAAGTTCAAATAAATTTTTTTAATTAATTTAGTTAATCAAATATGTCTGAAAGAATTACCAAAAATGTTATATTTTTATTCAAAACTTGAAGTTACTATTTTTGTGTTTTTGTTTTTCCTCTTTGCCTTCATTTTTGATACTTGAGTAAACAGCAATAACTCTGAAATTTTACTTAAATTGAGCTATCACTTAGACAGACCCAGCAACCTAAGCTGTCCCCACTTGTTCTACCCCATCCCACCTTAATGTCTATAATACTCTTCCCCATCATCCTACTTTACATCTCCTACTCAGTCTACCCTACCTTATCCCTTTCTTTTCAGGACCTAGTCCCCCTGACCCTCACTTTCTTAAACCCAACCCAGACCCCTAGCCTCTCCAGCCGAAACCTTCTTTCCCCATCACCCATCCTTGCCCTTCCCTTCACAATCATTCTCTTTCTCTGGCTCTAATCTCACCTTTTCACTTATAACTTTTCCCAACATCTGCCCCTCAATCTACCCACTAGACTCATTCCCCGTTTCCATTACCTTAAACCACTACTTAGCCATTAACCTTTATACTGTGCTTCTTAATTCACCTGCCCCCACCGTCCACCTCTCCCTACACCCCCTTAACTCAACCGATGTTCTATCACGACCTCCACTGTAACATAATCTCACCTCATCTTTCCCATATCCTGTAAATTGAGTCCCCTGGTACTCTTCTCTGCCAACCAATAATTATCCAGAGAAGGGCTGGACCAAATCTGGATCTCCAAAAAAATGCCATGGATCAGAGCACTTCCTTCCTCAAAAAACTCACCTGCACCAAAGCATGTTTGTGTGGAAAGTCTAATCCACTTCCGAAATTGATACAAAGTTGAAATGGCTTCAGTTTTAAAAAAACAACAGCAGCAACTTCTAAAATTAGAACACCACATTTCAACATGGGAAAATCAAAGTGACAGCATAGTAGAGACATTCTAACAGTACAGTTCTCTAAAAAAAAAATTCTAACAAAGAACTAAAATCTGAACACAACAAATTGTACAATCAGTTGAATTTCTCTTCCAGATGAATCAGCTTGTTAATGACCTTGCAGTCCGTTTAAAGTCCAAATACATTGTTCCACTGATGTCTCAATCCAGTCTGGATGAGCTGATGACTAATATTTTCAATAGAAGTGATGTTTCTTCCAAATTTGTTTTCATTTTGAACTCAGTGATTGGTCGAGATTTGTAAGTATTTGTTTCAATTTTAATGTGCTTTTTCATAAAATGCTGTATTGAGTCGAATTACCTGATATAAAAGTAATATAATGAAATACATTTTTATGTTCTATAAGAAATTTCAGTGCTTTCTATGCGTCTGGAATGAGAATTCATTATGAGAAGTTGACAGGCATGCAAATAAAAAGCAAATGCCAAGGCAAAGGGCACTGTGTAATTTTAACCCAGTTAAGAATATAGTTTATTCGAGACTTTTCAATAATATTGAATTTTTTTTTTGTCTCTAAAATATTAAATGTAATAATCCTCTTTTCGTTTCTTTAGGCAGTTTCTTAAATCTAAGAGTTATGTGGCCAGTAATGCTATCATCATTGACCAATATGATGACCCCACTTCAGCAGATTGGAGTAGCTTTAGCAATTACATTGATAGTGTACGCAGTAATATCTCTTTTGCCAAGAATATTCCAAGCACTTGGCTAGCTTCTTCCAAGTAAGAAACACCTAAGATTGAAATTATATGCTTTGGATAGGTTTAATAGTTGTTTATATAAGTTTTTTCCAAATTCTGATATTGCCTTTTTATGAAATACAGTGGAACATCAGATAACAAACTTAATCTGTTCCGAGTGGTGACGTGGCTTACAGTTTAAATAAAATCACAATAAAACAATCGGGTCTGAGAACTATAGCTTTTTAATGTAAAGTACAATCCCTTGACAGAGCTGACAGGAAAATCTCTCACACCGCCGACCTGACGCATCCGTTCCACATTACAATCTCAAAAAAAATGTACACACCTCAAGTCCCAGTTCACCCCCCCTCCACACACACAGTCGTCACAGGGAACCCGCTTCCCGAACTGACCATTTTCAAAGATAAAATTTAGGAACCCTAGGTTTATTCAATTCATTCATTTGTGACATTCATTTTAATTTATCACTATCATGCTGATAAATGTTGTCACAGGCAAAGGTGACTGGTATTATGAAAAATAAAACGCTAAGGAATGGTAACATTTCCAATAGTATTTTTGTTTTAAATTTTAGAAAAAATAAAATTAGGGAACCTTAGGCTTATTGAATTCATCATTATCATGCTAATAAACATTGTCATTGACAAAATAAAAATATTCCCCAAAATTAGTCATGTGTATGGAAATAAATGTTAAAAAAGAATAATGAAACCTTTAGTGATATTAAAAAAATATAATTATTTATTTCAATTTTGTATAATTAGGCATAAAATAGTCTTTACTTTAAATCATAAGCCTATACACTCATGTGCATGCATCACTGTTTCCTATAATAATTATGTAGTAGGTCAGCTGTATTATCATACTAAATGTAAATCAATATTAGTTCAACTTTTGTTTAATCAGGGTCAAATCTAAAATTAGCTCATAAATGATAATTTAGGATAAATGAAGAATTTAAATGTTGACCAATAAGTATGCATGTTTTCAACAAAAATGTATGGTTCAACTTAAACAAGACTTCCTGAAGGCTTATGCCTGAATAATTTCGTGGGCCACACTAGTAAAAAGATACATAGGCTTAGCTTTTGATCAATACTAAATGTGTCTAAGAAGCATTGTTATATTATGAAAACAAAGGGAGCCCAGGGGTCTACTTTGTATGAATTCCCCCCCACCCCCACCCGCAAGTCAAAATTTTCTATTACCGTACTATATTAAAAAACATTTTTAAAAACTTAAAATTACTTTTTATTCAAATGGTAAAAGCCAAAGTATTCATTAGAAGTTTATCTGCTCTAATTCAAGATAATCTCATTTTTGATAAAAAGTAAATAAATATCAATACTTTCCCCCCTCATTTTTTGATGTACACAGTGTCCAGAACTAGTTTTGAAATAACTAAATCTTTCTGTTTTGGCCGAAATTCAATTTTAACTTTCAGGTTGGTTTTGGTTTTGACGAAAATCAGAAAATTACATACTTCGTTAAGACAGTCACTCCTTTAGCCACATCTGTGGCCTTTATTACCTCTTTGTTCTTTAAAATAGTACAAACTGTTGATTTTACCTCATTCTATGGCTTGGCGTTGTCAGAAACACAAAGGCCAGCATCATGTTATAATATAATTTCTTTCTTTAATTTTACACGAACACTATTCCAATAAATAAAACTTTTCTTTTCAGTTTTAGGCTCCATAATGAGTGCTAAAAAAAAACAAAAAAGGAGTGTTTTTGACAAACAATGTTTTTTGGAAACACGCTAAAGCTCTAATGAGCCAGTGGGATTGTGTGTACAAAAGTATACGTATGTTCATTACCCGAATAATGGTTTGCTCACCAAGACGAGAATTGTTCACCAAACTTTTTTGTTAATTGGGTTGTTTGTTATACGTGTTTCCACTGTATATCTATTTCTCCAATTTTGTGAAATGGCCATATCTCTGCCTATTTTAAGATATTGGTAAAATATAGATTACTAAATCAAGTCAATTTTTAAAAAAAAAAATGACTTTAAAAATTTCTAAAGTTCTATATTTTTTTAATTGTTTTTTTTTAAAAATGTGTAACTTTTATGAACTAACTTTTTTGTTTATATTGCCATGCTTAACAATCCAGTTTTTTTGTATCTTATCACATAGTGCAGATTAACAAATTATTAATGTAATAACCCATAGTACAGATTAGTAAATCTTTTTTGTCCAATAAACAAAACATAGAATAAGAAAATAAATTCATTTTGTTAAATCAGAATGATCATCACCATTGATAGAATAAGAAAATAAAGACATTTTGTTAGACTGATCAGACTGATCTTCACCATTGATAGAATAAGAAAATAAGTACATTTTGTTAGACTGATCAGACTGATTGTCACCATTGATAGAATAAGAAAATAAGTACGTTTTGTTAGACTGATCAGACTGATTGTCACCATTGATATAATAAGAAAATCAGGACATTTTGTTAAATAAGACGACTGATTACCATTGATAGAATAAGAAAATAAATACATATTGTTAAATTAGACTGATTGTCACCATTGATAGAATAAGAAAATAAAGACATTTTATTAAATCAGACGGATCTTTGCCATTGATAGCTAGGTTAAATAGTTTTTAAAATTGATTCCAGCCTGCCAAACCTGACTGCAATTTCATCAACTATGAAACGCAGTATCACAAGGACTCTGTTTAGTGTGAAGAATGTCATAAAGGTATGATACAGAAAATAACATTGTGTATGCTTAAATACATTGTATGATAAAAAAACAACTCAAATATTCTCTCTAGAAATCTGAAGAGATAATGGATAAAAATGGTTGATTGAAACTGCGTTGAAGTCATGTGAAGGGACTTTAAATAAGTATGGAAGTTTATAATTTTATATTTTAAGTTTCAATGTAATATTCCATAAAGAAATTAATATTTGGATTTTTTAAAAACAAAAACAACAAAAAATTAATGCCATTAATAAATTACCTTTTGTTGTCTTTAGGGTTTAGATACCCTGATGAGAGCTGGCTGTGCCACAGGTACCAACTACCAATTTTGTGATGCTTATCGTAGCCAGAACTCCAAAAAAGACTCGATATATCCTGGGATAAAGAATGCCTTCAATATGTTTACGGACCTTGGCGAATTAAGTTACCAAAATATTAACTATACGTACTACCAGTTTTTAAACAGAAATGATGGTGGTCAAATACAACCAGTAGGTATTTTTCTGTTATCTTTACATGTTATAAATAGAGTTAATACATAAATTGAATTCTGTTTTAGGTTTTAGGTACGCAAAATGAATAAGATAAATATTTTCTGTGTAAATATATACATTTTATTTTTAAAATACCTGTTACTCATCCTAAATTTTCCAGATTTTAAGAATTTCATTTAAAAATCAATTTCAAATAGATCAATTGAACACTGAACATTTTTTCTGTTACAGATTGGCTCTTTTAGTTTTAATAACCAGGGTGTACTAACGCCTACTTTCACTGAAAATCTTATGGATGTCAAATATGAAAATGCTTACAGTGGGCCTGTTTGCCCATTGCCTTATCAGAACCTGTGCTGTGAGGTACCAACCACTATTGCTCCCCCAACCACTACACCTATAGTTGCTACTGGTACAACTGCTGCCGTTACTGGAAGCAATGGAAAATCAAGTGTAACGTGAGTTTAATTAATCTCCTCTCAACAATACCAACAGCTTTTATTTTTTAAATAGGCTCCAATGACTATTTACCTGTTGATGTTTTATATGCAGTGTTTAACTCAAATTTCCTAGCACACTGCATTCAGATTTCTCTATAATCGCCTTCTCAACCCTTGTTAGTTTAATGCTTTTTTCAAGGCCCCTACTATATCTTGCATGTGATTTTAAAAATCAACTGCAATTTTTTTTTTGAGAACCATCCTCTTTTCTTGTTTTCAAGCTCTTGAGATGTTTATTTGCAAGGCTAGAAAGGAAACTATTGAAACAAAATGATGTATAATCTATTGACATTAATACAGAAAAGGATATTTATGTTCATATATGGCTGAAGATGACTCTGAATTGGCTCTAAATTCTAAATAAATTCTTCTTCTTCTATAAATTAAGGGTCCACGATCAATTTATTGATAATTTTGGCTCCTATGCATGTAGAGGGGATTTGCAATGTTTCTGTGCCTGGTGTTGATGAGGACATTTCACTGATTTCCAGTGCCACTTTGTGAGGGAATTATGCGCTGGGGGTTTGAAGGTTTGAGGCAATAGACACAAATGAGTCTAGTGTTGTCGCCTCAACTGTTTCATTTGAAAGCTTGTTCCAGTCCCTGATTGTCTTGGGCAGGAATGAGCAGCTCCTATACTGGCTTCTTGCTGGTATGAGCCTGAATTTCCTGTCATGGCCTTGTCGCTGTCTATGGGGGAGAGGGACGAGTTTCTGTTTAATACTGGAACAGTGGACCAGCCCATTATTTATCTTGTACATCATGGAGAGCCTGGATTGTCGTCGTCGTTCCTCCAATGGTGACCAGCCTAGTGTTTCTAGCATGCTGCCAACACTAGAGGTATTCCTAGAGCGGTTCAGGACAAAGCATGCTGCCCGTCGCTGGACCGCCTCCAACCTGTCAATGCTCTTCTGGGTAAATGGGTCCCAGATTGAAGATGTATAATCTAAAACTGGACGGACAAAGGCTTATATGCTCTTTCTTTCACACAGGAGTTTCCAATCTTTAGATTACGCCTTAAGAACCCCAGGGTCTTGTTTGCTTGGTTACATACATTGTTAATATGCTCATCCCAGCGGACCTCTCTTTGAATGGTAACACCCAGGTACTTTACAGAAGAAACCGGGTCAAGCATATGGCCGTGCAGTTCATATTGGTAGTGTAGAGGAGTACAAATTCTTAATCTATGGTAGTTGATGCCTAAGGTGACAATCGACTTAATGAATTGTGAAAATATACTGATATTTAAAGCATTCCCTACAGTTGGTTCTATAAATAACCTAATTTTTGTATATCAATTATTAAATTATAAATTTTTATACTTATAAAAAAATGAAACTAAGATAACATTCCATTTTTTTATTATTAATTTTATGCAGATGTGTGGTTGATGTTAAAATGGGTTTGTTTATCTGGAAAGGGTTATATGATTAGATCTAATCTTAAGAGTTGAGCTTCATGTAAATTTTACACAGGGTCTTACTAATTTTCTTAGAAAGTTTGCTCTAAAAAAAAATGGAATTGAACCCTTTTAGAGTCTTTGAACAGTTTGAAGAAAAAATAATTCTTTCAGGTATCATTGTTGATTAACAGATTCTCATCTTATTTTTACCATTTGGCTACTTTTTGCTTTCAGAAAGGTAGAATATCCCACAGAGCAGGCCATCACTGGGGCATTTTCGGACCAGTCTCGTGACAGTAAGGAGTATGGTACAAGGTTTGACCTGGGTCATAAATGGATTATTGCCCTTGGTGTTCTTGCTGGTATGGTTCTTTTCTGTTTGAAATTTTAAAAAACAAACATTTAATACTAACCTTTAATAAATGAGCAAAACCTTTAAGGCAGTGGTCTTCAAATAGGCATGCGGCTCTTTAACAACCTGACTGCCGCTGGGTCAGTCGGCCACAAATTAGTTTTAACTCCAAAAAACATGGTTCTTGACAGGTTTTTGAAAATAAATTTGGCTCTCAAAAATTTTTTAACCGTCCTGTTGCTGATATTTGGCTCTTGACTGACAAGTTTGCTGACCATTGCTTTAAGGTATAGGATTAAGCCAACATTGTCAAATGCAAGGTGTCTGTTTTTTCATTCAAAAAGAAAGTGAAATCAGTACTTTCACAGTCATAAACAAAATATGATGCATGTTTTCATGAGACTTTTAAGATAGTCTAGAAATAAATTTAATTATAGTTAAAAGCTTGCATACTCCAAGCTTACTTCATTTTAATTAATATGCATGCAGCTTGTTTATTTTAGTTATGACCACCATGGCATAACATATGCCTTGCCCTCTATCTCAGACATAAATACCATCCTTCAGCCCAGGGTCAGTACCTGTAAACTTGACATCGTGACCTGTCATTACAGCCTCTTATGTCACAATAGTTAGCAGATAGTTGACACTAGGCAAGAAGTGCTATAATGGTTGCGTAAACACACATGACAATTGGACGAAATACATTGTTTAAATGTAGCCCTGCAAAGCTTAATTAAAAAGCAGTGAAATATTGTGACCATGCCAGGACCACTTTATATATATATATATATATATATATAACTGTCAGAGATATTAATATTCATCTTGAATATTAAAGTGTTTGGAAGCTGCTTTATCAAATTATTTATTTTTCATTGTGAAGGACTCGGGATTCTCTGTGTCATTATTTTTGAGATCTACATATTATACAAGCTGCTTGGCACCAGCATGGGCAGGCAGTGGAGGACAATGTGGCTGGGACAGCTTTTGCTCTTTGGGCTGTTCCTCTGTTATCTTGTGCTGTTTGCTTACCTTCCAATTCCAACCAAGGTGAATCATAGAATTGATCTTTAGATTTCTTTCATTGAGTTTATTTAAATTTAACATCCAAGTTCCATTACTTTGGTTTTTTATTAATTAGTCGATTTATTAAATTTGTATGTTTCTGATCTTAATGAATTTTTCATTACTACATATTTACCTACTAATTTCTATACATAATTTTTGCCCTTAAGGCGATTTTTACTGTAACTTGAAATCATTCCCTAAAAGTGAGCTCTTGCACTAAATACTATAGTAAATTTATATTCTGTCTCCCATCTAACTGTACTCTACTGAAATAAAATAGAAATTAGACTTAAGTGGAAGGTCTATTCATCGTGTTACTTAAAGAGAGAGAGAGTTTCTTTCTTTTCTTTTTTTTTTTTGCTTTCCTTTTTAAAAATAATTTTATTTCACTAACTGTTAACACATCTTTTCTTTTAAGGCCACTTAAAAAACCACAGTCCAGTGCATCTCTACCTCAAATTATGTTTTTAATTCTACATTTTCTGCATATGTTTTTGGATTTCAATATCATGTTTGTGAATATTTCAGGCCACCTGTGGTATCACCAGGTTTGGGGTGGGTGTGTCGTATGCTTTCTGCTTTGCTGTCCTTTTGGTCAAGCTGATGGTTATCCTGACTTCTAAATCATCAGATCTCATTCTGCCTGGAGAGTTGGCATCTCCAAATTACCTGAAGGGAATCTACCAGTTTCTCTTGTTCATTTTTGCTGTTGGTGTCCAGGTATATCTTATTTTTGTTATATGGGGCCATTCACACATGTTTAGGCAGATAAAAGGACAAAATTAAAAGTTTAGAGCTAAACACATTTGATAATTTAATAGGCTGCAAAAATATATTTTTCAACTTCTAACAATTTAATTTTTTTATTTTTTTAAAATCAAATATAAATTTTCAGTTAGGAGCAGATTTTTATAAATAATTATTTGAATTAAATGATGATTGTAAATTTAATTTCACATGCAAAATTGACCTTTGTGGTGTTGGTGGGATTACCTCAATGTGAAATAAGATTACCTACCACAGTCAGTTGTAGGAGGCGTAAGTGTGTGTGTTGATTGTGGAATTTCAGGTGAACTCTAGGTGCATAAACATATTTTATAATGAGCAGCTAAATCAAAATCATTAAATATTGAACATAATCTGTTTGCACTCTCCAATTATATTTCAGATTGTCATTGATATTCAGTGGCTGATCACTGTTCCACCCGAAGCCATCAAAGTCACATCCAATAACAAAGATCATGTCTGGATATGTAACCACTACACTTGGGAGGCGGGGAGTGGCCCATTTGACATGAAATCCTTTGTTCGCACCAACTTTGACAACCATTTGATGTCGCTGATCTACATCATGGTGATGATCCTTATCACAACCATCCTTTCCCTCAATGCTCATGGCATCATCACCAACCACAGAGAGAGCATCTTCATTGGCATTGCCGCTGGATTTAGGTATGGCTCTCAAGAAACTAGTACTTAATGTTTACTCTTTCCTTTCTTTACAGAACAAAGATATTTCACATACATTGTTTATAAAAAGTTTATGAAACAAATTAAACAACAGAAGTTAGTTTTTGGAAGAAAGTCTTTATTTCTTTTTAAGTATAGGCTATTATTTTATCGTTTTATTTACATAGATAAACAAATAAATCACTGGTCTTTAAAAATTTTTTTTTTTTAATGCCAAAATTATGGCTAAATTACCATATTTAGAAGAAAAAAAATTGTACTTTTATATTATTTTTTCTCCTCATACATTTGACAGTACAAAATGAAATAAAAATATACTTTCCTGATAAAATGTTCGTAAACCTTAGTTATCCTGTTACAATACACCTTTTATAAGTATCTATTTAAAAATTGTTATGTGACATTTCCTACCAGTATTCCTATATGGTTAGCCTGGGGCCTTGTTGGAGGTTTGAACAAGGACCACGAATATTCAGAAGAGTTTGGAGATGCTTGCGTTGCTTTTGGACTTCTCATCACAGCTACTCTCATACTCTTCTCTATGTTTTTGCCAAAGGTAAGCATGGCTTTACTACTATTTTCATTTTAGTTTTTTGTATTGTAGAGATAAAACTATAAATAATACTAGGAAACTAAATTAGGGACATGCTAGTTAGAAGCCACCTCCCTGCTATTAAAGCACATAAAGGCACAAAAAGTTGCAACCGTAGCCGTTGTAACTCATGTCCCTACGTGATCGAAACTGATAAGATCACTTTCCCTCTGGAAGTATTCAGAACAAAAGATGGCTTTACCTGCAACGTGATTGACACCATCATTTGCAAAAAGTGCGGTAAATTATACATAGGAGAGACAGGTCATCACCTTTGGGACTGGTTCAGAGAACACCTCTATAACATAAATAAACAAGCTCTCTGTCCGGTCTCCAAACATTTCAATAGCCCTAACCCTGATGGTATCTCAGACATCGCAGTTACTGGTATACTCTATATTAGTAACACTACAGATAGAATCTATATGGGAAAAAATTAATAACAGGATTTGGTACGTTGTCTCCATATGTCTAGAAGTTGTACTCCTCTACACTACCAATACGAACTGCACAGCCATATACTTGAGCAAGTTTCCTCCGTAAAGTACCTGGGTGTTACCATTCAAAGAGAGGTCCGCTGGGACAAGCATATGAACAATGTATGTAACCAAGCAAACAAGACCCTGGGGTTCTTAAAGCGAAATCTAAAGATTGGCAACTCCTGTTTGAAAGAAAGAGCATATAAAGCCTCTATCCGTCCGATTTTAGATTATACATCTTCAGTCTGGGACCCATTTACCCACAAGAGCATTGACAGGTTGGAGGCGGTCCAGCGACGAGCAGCACACTTTGTCCTAAAATGCTACAGGAATACCTCTAGTGTTGGCAGCATGCTAGAAACACTAGGCTGGTCACCATTGGAGAAACGACGACGACAATCCAGGCTCTCCATGATGTACAAGATAAATAATGGGTTGCTCCACTGTTTCAGTATTAAACAGAAATTCGTCCCTCTCCCCCATAGACAGCGACGAGGCCATGACAGGCGATTCAGGCTCATACCATCAAGACGCGAGTATAGGAGCTGCTCATTCCTGCCCAAGACAATCAGGAACAATCTTTCAAAAGGAACGGTTGAGGCGACAACACTAGACACATTTGTGTCTATTGCCTCAAGCCTTCAAACCCCTAGTGCATGATTTCCTCATCAACACCAGTAACAGAAACATTGCACATCCCATCTACATGCATAGGAGCCAAAATGATCAATAAATTGATCGTGGGCCCTTAAGATATAGAAGAACAAGAATGAACCAAATCCACAATTTTACCTAGCGGCCATGTCTTTTTCCTATTTGGTTTTTCCAATTATGTTCAAATCACTTCCTTTCTACTCCTCTTTACTTTGTCTCTGTCTGGTTTTAGCGCCCTCTCCTATTTTTTTCTGTTTTAGGTAGGATATGTATATTGATATTATGTAAATTTAATTTATACTTATTTAAATGTGTTTTTTTGTTTGTACTGATGAAGGAATGATATGTGCTGAAACGTTTACTTGTGTATAATGTATAATTATTATTAAAGCGTAACTTATATTTTTATATTGACACAATTTGTTTGTGTCTTATTAATCTAGGAAACTAAAGAGTGTTTACATAGTTAATTATGTGATTTCTCTGTTTTAACTTCTGTTAATGAACTTAAAGATTACTTCTACTCACGATCTGAGATTTACAAGTGCTAAATAATACTTCTTTGTTCACTCTAATTTCCTAAACTTTATGTAAGTAGCACCAATACATATGGTGAACAGTCACAGTCACAATGAGCCTGATGTTTTTAACGAATCTATTTCAGGTACGCCAGCTGGTGAATATGGGAGTAGAAGGTATTTACCTTGAAGATGACCGTGAAACCATCTATGGCGGTTCTGTTATTATGGCGCCTTCCAGCTACCATGGTGGGAAAGGCCCCTCTTCCGTCATATTTGTCAACAATTCTGGAATCTACTCAGAACCAGTTATGCTTGGGAACGGTGATCCCAGTAAGCCTGGCGGTCGGTGTATTTACTGTCCTAATTTTTTTTCTTCACTTCTTTCACTGCTTCCCTAGATGTGCACTTTAACTCATTCCAGACGGTCGCAACTAAATGCGCCCTTGTGGGTTTTGACGGATGCGTCCAGAAGTGCTTAGCACACGCATTTCTCATTATTATTTAACAATAGCGAAGAGATCTAAAGTCGAGAGACTTCCGGTGATGGCGTGATTCTACATGATTTCAATTTTTTTAAAAAGGGACGTTTTTATCTTGTTTCACTTTTCAATCTATGTGCTTTAGTGCTGTGTATTTATATCTAGCTTGTGTTCATCCGAGGTGCTAAAAATTGATTTTTTGTTTATTGCTCATACATTTTTTACCTGTTATTATATATTTTGTTAAATGTAATTCATTTCCAGATCCATTTATCCTGCTTAATTAATTAATATTAATTAATATTTAGCAGCTAAAAAAAATAATTTACAAATGTAAATCAGTTGCAAAACAGAGTTACTTCCCTTCGTTCTGGAATATAAATTAAGTAAGGAAGTAGTTCTGCCATCAGGAATAAGTTAAACACAGAAGCTTATTAACCCTTTACTATTATCATGCCATTGCGAGTATGATTTGAAATCTCACAATTCTTATGGTTGACCTAATATTTAAACAGAGGAAAAATTCAAGAAAAGAATCCTTAGAGATGTGCACAGATCTTATATAAACTATTAATAAATTAATTGAAAAAAAGATTTGTGGTAAATCCTATTTTTCCACAAAGGTTTGTTCATGAAGTGATTTGACACCTTCACGTTCATCATCATCAGTGGCACTACAGCCCATGTAGGGCCCTGGCCTGCTCCACCACATCCTTCCACTCGGAGCGATCCATGGCTTTCCGTCTCCATGCTCGAACCCCCAACTGGTGTAAATCTGTCTCCACATCATGAATCCACCTCATCCTTGGGCGACCGATGAGTCGTATGCCCCTAGGCTTCTGCCTGTATATAATTTTGGCTGCTCTGCATTCCGGCATCCTTTCAACATGACTTGACAGCGTATTCTGCCTTTTTTATCATTGTGACTATGGGTGGTTCTTTGTACAAATTGTAAAGTTCTTGGTTTATACGTATTCTCCAGATATCATTTTCTATCACTGGTCCGTATATTTTGAGGAGGATTTTCCTCTCCCATTCTCCCCTGTGTTGAGCAGGTTCTCTGGTTTTCTGGTGAGGGTCCAGGTCTCACTAGCGTACGTTACTACAGGTCTTATGATGGTGGTGTATATTGTCTTCTTTGTTCCCCTTGATAGGTTTTTGTTTCCCAGTAGCTTTTGTAGACTGAAATAGGAACAGGTGACTGCTGTTATCCTTTCTTTCACCTCTGACATTATCTCATTGTGCTCGCTTATAGTTGGCCCTAGATATTTGAATGTAGCCACTCTCTCAAATTTGTGGTTGTTTATATTGATGTTATTATCAGCATGGAAGTTTCTTGACATTATCATATATTTTGTCTTTGGTTCATTTATATCAAGGCCAGCTTTGAATGAGGCATTTTCAAGTTCCCTGAATGCTTTAATTATGTCATTACGGTTTCTACCCAGTAGTGCTATATCGTCTGCATATGCCAGGTACTGCAATGGTTGGCTATGTAAGGTTCCTGATGGTTTTATTCTGTATTATCTCTCTGGAAGTAGTTTGTTATGGTTCCACTGGTGCTAATGTGTATGCTTCTAATAACTTTTTCTAGCATGATGTTAAACAGGATACATGATAGTGAGTCTCCTTGTCTGAGGCCCCGATTAACTGGGAACTCCCTAGAGTATTCTCCCTGTACCTTGATTCTACTTTTGGAGTTGGCCATTGTCATATGTATGAGCCGAGTAAGCTTGTTAGGGACTCCAAGTCCTTTTAGAGCATTGTATAAGTAATTCCTGTTTATGCTATCGTATGCTGTTTTGTAATCCACATATAGTTGGTGTTTGTCGATGTTATATTCGTAGCATTTCTCCAGGAGACATCTTATAGTAAAAATATGATCTGTGGTTGACCTATTCTGCTGGAATCCACATTGATAGTCCCCTAGGATCTGTTCACTATACTTTTCCAATTTTCTCGCTATAAGTTTTGTGAGGATTTTGTACATTAAGAAGGGAGATACCTCTATAGTTTGAGCAGATCAACTTAGATCCTTTTTTGTGGATTGGGATTATGAGTGCCGTGTCCCATTCAGTTGGTATTTCTTCCTCCTGCCAGATTCTGGCTATAAGTTCGTGTATTTGCTTGTGCAGTTCGTTACCACCTAGCTTTATGAGTTCTGCAGGGATAAGGTCTATTCCTGGGGCTTTGTTATTTTTCATGGTGGAGATTACATCTTTTATTTCATTTAATGTTGGTTGGTTGACCAGTGGGTCCGGTCCTCCTTGTGGCAGGGCGTAATCCACATTGGTTCCTCCACCTGAGCCATTTAGTAGGCCTTCAAAGTGTTGTGCCCATCTCTCTAGTACTCTACTGCTCTCTGTGATCAATTCTCCATCTGTGCTTTCACACATGTGGGATCTTGCTTGAAAGCCATTCTTTTCCTGCTTTATCTTCAGGTACATTCCCCTCACATCTCTTTCTTTTGCCAACTCTTCTATCTCTACTATTTTTTATTTTTCCCAAACACGTTTTTTCTTTCTGCAAATTTTGCTGGCCACCCTTCTGGCTTCATTATATAATTGTTGTGTTATTCTTGTTTCCCTTGCAGCATCATTAGCCGAGCTTTGTTTCTTTGTTCTATAAGTTCTTTGCATTCTGCGTCATACCATCCTGTTCTTTTCACTGCTGGTTTAAATCCAATCGTTTCCTGTGTTACACTTGTAACTATTTGCTTCATCTTTTCCCTTTGCTGGTTTATATCAACGTTGCTGGCTGATTCTCTTTTGGATAATTCTAGTAGAGTTTCAATCTTCTGTTGATATTCCTCAGCAATTTTTTGGTCCCTACTCCGTTTCTGACTATTGTACTATTTTGCTCTTTTATTTTGTTTATTGTGAATGTTACAAATTCTTTGCTTATATTTGATTCTAACAAGCATGTGGTCTGAGTCTATGTCCGCCCCTCTACAACTTTTCACATCTGATATGTCTGAGCCATGCCTCCGGTCGATAAGTACGTGGTCTATTTGATTACGGGTAAATCCATCTGGAGATATCCATGTCGCTTTATGTATTTGTTTATGTTGAAATACTGTGCTACTGATTATCATTCCTTTTCCAGAAGCGAAGTTTATAAGACGTGTTCCGTTGTCATTGCTCTCATCATGCATACTTTCCTTTCCGATTGTTGGTCTGTAGACTAGTTCTTTCCCAATTTTCGCATTGAAATCACCAAGGACTATTTTGATATCATAGCGTGGAGCCTCATCAAATACTCTTTCCAGTGTTTCGTAGAAAGTTTCCTTCATGCTTTCATCTGTATCTTCCGTTGGAGCATGTGCGCAGATTAACGTAATATTAAACATGTTTCCTCTAATCCTTGTGGAGCATAATCTTTCACTCATTGGTTTAAACCCAATGACTGCATTTAGTGTCTCTCTTTTGACTGCAAAGCCTGTTCCTAAGGTATTCGTGTTGTTTCCATTGTAGAATATTGTATATTCCTCTGAGTCTTTCCATCTAATCTCCTGTAGTGCGGCAATCACGATTCTGTATCTAAGCAATTCATCACTGAGGCGGGCCAAGGTACCTGCTCTGTATAAACTGAGTACATTCCAAGTCGCTATCCATATGTCATGTTTGTGGTCAGGCATGGGTCGAAATCCATAAATATCAGTCCGTTTTTCTGAATGTGGTTTTACTTTCGTACTTTGCTTTTTTTACGTGACAGGGTCGTCAGCCCTGCGCACAACCGTCTGGGGAGATGCCCCTTGCAGCTCTCAGGGTAACTGCCTTTGTATAGGGTCGGGTCCCTAGCCTTTGTGGATCCCTCCACTTCCTACAAGGCAGTAGGTACTGATTTTGTTCCGCCCTGGGTATTTTATTTCCCTGGGTATTTTATTTCCCCGGTACCCTCCATATCTGGTGGGCTTTCCCCATCCGCCACCTGGAGAGGCGCTCAATGGAAGATCAGTATCTCCTCACGAGACACCTTCACCTTGCTTAGCCTTTATTCAGTTTTCAAGAGTATTTGCTATTTATTGACCAGGTTATGTCAATAATATTAAAAAGTTACTAGTGTTCTTAAAACTTGAATTCTATTTTAAAATGCAAAAAATTAAAAAACCTACAACAGGGGAACTCTGATGGCCAAAAAACAAGCAAAGTTTCATATACCTTTGACAATAAAAGGGTTGACGGATCAAAAGAAAAATTGGGGGTAGATTGGTAAGCAAATATATTTGCTAATTTATTTATTTATATTTCTGGGGCTAATGTCCCATATTCTTTACCAGATCTCTCAAATTCATTACCCTTAAATTTTAGCCTGATAGACAAAAATTAGTTACATTGCAAACAGTAAAACATATTGCTCTAATCTCGCATTATCTTGCTAAAAGAAACAACTAATAATTATACCTATTTATTTTTCTTTGTTTCTATAATTTTTTTCTTTCTTGTTAGAGTAATGTATGTTAATATTAGCAGATTTGTTTGTCTTCCTAGCTGTAATGATAATGTTTATTTTATTTTAAAAAATTGTAATATCTAGTTGTATATTTCAATTTCTAGAAGTTCCTTTAACAAATAATTCCATATATATATTTAAAACAATTTTTTATTTATTCAGTGCTTTTTTTTTAATAACAGATAAAGGAATACATTAATAATGTTTACTAGTACATCAAATTGACTGCCTTATTTAACAGATTATTTTAATAATATTCACAAGATTACATTCTTAGGTTTTTAGTTGCCTAACGGTTGCACTTTTTTCTACATACATTAAGAAATAGAGCTCTTGTTTACTTTTATTTGTAAAGCATTAACTGTACATTAAGGATATAACTCAGAAAAATTTCCAAGAATACAAAGTGGCTTTTTATCATCTGCTGGCCTTAAATTTTTAATGTTTAAATTGTTTAAAACAGAGCACATAGAAAATAATAACCAGATATCATCACATCTCGATTCGATCAGTAACATTCCAAGGCCATCAATTATCAATCACCCTAAAGAATGTATATTGTTTATATTGCAGTGGCCACACATTTAAAACACCCAGGCAGCACAGTTTATAGTCTGCCTCCCACTTATCTCAAAAAGGCAGAGTCTGCTTATGGAGGCAGCACAAGAGTGTTGAAAATAACAGATGACCTTAGGGGACGCTACCCTCACAAACGCACTCAGTCTGAGATCGCATTTGGCTCCTCTGGAAGACCACGATCAACGAAAGGAACACTGCCAAGTGAGTGATTTTTGTGGCAGGAGAGTTCATTCAAAATACTTACTGTATTTTCCGGCATATAAGACGATTTTTTAAACCATGACAATCTTTTCAGGGGGGGGTGGCATCTTATACGCCGGGGTTCGTCTTATAAGCTGGTATGCGGTGTGCTTAGACTTCAGGGACAGGCGCCCTGTAGTTCCAGTTTGCTTGACAGCTTAGTAAACTAACAGCATGGCAGCTCCCATGGGTTTATTGTCTCATCACTTCCTTTCAGTTTTTTTATTTTTATTAGGTGTGCGTTGGAAGAGGGGTAGTCTTATACGATGAGTAGTCTTATACGATGAGTAGTCTTATACGATGAGTAGTCTTATACGATGAGTAGTCTTATACGATGAGTAGTCTTATACGATGAGTATAGCCCAAACCCTATATTAAAACGGGAAAAGTAAGGGTCGTTTTATACACCCAGTCGTCTTATACGCCGGTAATTACTCCACTCATGTTTTCAAGTGCCTTTGCTTTCATACTATTTTGTATCGTATTGTCTTTCTAATCTAAGATGACTCAGACTTGATCTCAAGAATAAACCTCAGTTTCACTCACTTGCTTTATGACACTTAAAAATAATGTTTAAGAGAATAGTAATTACTCCTTTTGTTTTTAAAACTAGAAATAGATTTTACATTAAAGCATCCCATAAGATTTTATATTTAACTGATTTTTTAAACAAAAAATGTTTTCTTCCAGGGTCAAGGTCACAGACCAACTTAGGAGCTTTGTAAAGACTTCAAAACTTTGGAAATTTCAACTGCCTTATGAAACCAACCCAAATCTACCCTCGAACGTACAAAGTGATCTTAAAGAATTGTGAAATTATTTAGCATGTAAAAATACTTGTTTACATTTGTCTGTAGCAAGTTAATAGATCATTTTATTTAAATGTAAGCAAACTTTTGTGAAATGGGTCTTGATAAAAATGAATCTATATTGTGCATCTTTAACATTTTAACCCCAAAAAGCATTAATAAAATAAAAAGATGTTGATTTTAAATATTATTTTTATAGAAAATAAATGAAGTTTTTGTGATATCTCATAAAAATTTTTAACAAAATTGAAAACGAAAACATTCCTACCAATTATGTAGTGAAAAAATTCCTGAGAATTATGGTCTACTCTAAAGTTACAGTGCAACATTCTGCCTTTAACATGATGGAAAAATAAAAATGTATTACAAACTCAACACATCTTTCCTTAAGTATTTTTCATCTGCTAATATTTCTACTAATTTTTTTTTATGACGTCTTGTAGCTATTAATAAAACAGAAGTGTACCCGGTACTGACATTTTTTTTTTTTTCCAAAGTGATTGATATTTAAATGTAAATTGTGCTGTATATGTTAGGTACAGGTGTATAATTTATTTGGCTTTTAAAATAAGGTATTTGTACTAATTATCTCTTTGATGAGCTTTGAGGAGGGGAAAAAAGGGTTATTTTACTCAAGTAACTTTTCCATTAATTTAAATCTTGTTCCAGTTCTATCAGCCTTGCAACCGTATGCAAATGTAAAGGTATCAATTGCTAGATTATCCAGTGTTAATTTTTATAGCCCGTAATGTTGGATAAACATAGCCATTTGTTACCAATTATTTATATATTGGAAATGGATGTTTTGTTTCCTGAATAGAAGTGTATTACAACCTAAATGTTTATCTCACTCCTATAACTCTGAGACAAATAGAATTTCATTTTATTACTATGTGTAAGCTGTGTTCTCTTATTTCCTTGTGATGAAAGGTACATTTATTCTTTGATTTAAAACGGAGTAGCAGATCTTCATTGAAGAGAACCATTCGAACATAATCATAATTATAAACGTATGCAGCATCAAAATGACAAATTAAAATTAAACAAGTGTACTTGACATTTCTGACTGCTGTTCATTCTTTACAAATATTCCTACCAAATAAATGTAATAAAATAAAAGCTAGATTCCCTATAAATTGGTTTAATAAGTAACTTAATATTTACATCCTTTCATTTTGTGCATAAATATTGTTTTGTCTTGACTTAGGAAATTAGTGTGATAACTACAGTGCATGGAACAATTAAAATCAAACACACAAAAATTGCATCAAGCTTTTGATCTCTTAATGTGCTGCCGGATTTTAGATTAATTTGCAGGTACATTTGTTATAAAGCCATTGTTATATCGACAATGTATTCGCTATTGTATGATCATTACAAATGACTTGATGTCAGAAAGAATTCATTACACTTTTTGTTTGTGCTGAAAATATAACCACTATTTCTGCATGGTCTGATCACAAATATGTATCCCTTATACAAAGCTTAAGACTCCACACCATTAATGAATTGTCTTAATATAAAAAGAAGTGAAACCTCCTTTATTCTTACAAGATTAAATGTTGTTACTTTGCCTGCCTTGATTATGGTTGGCATTGCTTTATGACTGTTCTTTTCCAAACGAATGTTATTCATATATTTTTTAATCAGCAATTACATTTTTACTCTTAAAACATTACCCAATCATGTTTCTAACTGCATGTTGTATGTAAGCTGTTAAGAATTTGATCAAATATTAAATTATTTTAAATTAGTTAACACTGTGATGAGAAATCTTATCCCACAACAAAAAAAAAGAGTGTGAAACCCACATTTAAGAACTCCACAGTTCTAGAAAATTTAATTTAAGGTTGTAATTTCTATGGCCCCGTGACCATCAAGCCCTTATGCACTCACATTACTTGGCTAGGTCCATTGGGATGACTACACTTCACAGCCTGAACAAACATTTTATTTCAAATCAATCACAGTGCAAACTGCCCTTTTAAAAAAAAAATTAATTTCTCTAAAAACTGCTTTAGTGGTGTAAAAAAATTGACGTATCATTAGATCTATTTAAGCATTAAAAATAATTTTAAATATCAACTTTCTTTCTTTAATGATGCTGTGCTATTTTGTGTTATTCTACTTAATAAAAATTACTTAATATTATAAATCCCTAACAACAAAAGATCAAATAAGTACCTTTAGTAGCAAATTACTTTGGCACCTGTAATTAGATTTTTTATATGATAAAGTTGAAAGGAAAACTGTTCATGAATCAGCATAGAAATGTGGTAATAGTTTGTAAATGAACTACTGATTTTGTTAAAATTAAAGAAGTAAGCAAATGTATTTCTTAACTTTTTTTAATATTGTGTGCTCCATCTCATTACCTCACACACATTCCCCCACCTTTGATTATTTTAATTATTTTGAAATGTATCACATCTCATGAGTAAGCATTCACTTGGAAAATTTAAAAAAAAATAATGTAACATCTAGTTTGGAATATGAAATGCAAGATTAAAAATTGCTCTCTATTTTACTTGAATTATTTATGTATATAAATGCCTTGCTAAGATTGATGCTCATTATTTATGTTATTTTAATACATATTATTTCCATTGTAATATGGATGTCATCAAGTTGTATACTAAAAGTATTTATATCTTATCTTTGGGAAGAAGTTGTCCTTTTTGAGTAGCAATGCAAATATTTGCATAGTCTAAATATTATTTGATGAAAATATATTTTTTAGAAAAATTTCATATTACAGTATGTGCTCAAGTTTATTATAAAAAAAAATTTCTCACACATTCCAAAGCTGTAACAATGACTAGAAGGAAAAAAACGTATATCACTATTAAATTTCACTTTTTTTATCTTTGGTTTCTTCATTTTGCCTGCTAAATATTCATGTTTATTAATATTAGTCGAAATTTAAAATAGTCTCTACTAACTTTGAATAGCTCTGCTGGGTAACTGCCTGTTGTACAAAAATTTGTATTGACCTTTTATAAGTACAATTCACCAACCAATCTTTGGACTTTTTATTCTCGGATACTAAACCACTTGATCATGCACCAAAAAACTGTTGGGGAATTTTAAAAAAAAAATCTTCTTTACTGATCAGAATAAAATAATTGAAATGAAAAATTGCAAACAAAAAATGTGTTCATGACAACTTAGCAAAGTTGCTAGCCTTGAAAAATTGATCTCCCAGATATGACCTTGTGGCTTTCAAAACTGACATTAAGATAGCATCACTTCAAAAGTATTTTGGCTTTTGATAATATCTTTTATATATTCCTGATGTAGCACAATTTCCAAAATATTTTAGCAGTTGATAATATTCTGATAAATTGTCTTCCATATTGTTGTGGCTGGAAAAATAGTTAATATTTTTACGGGTGGTTTTATTTTCCAGAGTTGAGCCCCAATTAAATTGCTCCTTTACATAGGCCACTGCAGGGCCCTGACTTCACCTCACTAGGATTACTGGTGGACACCCCCCCCCCCTCCCCCAAATTTAAAACTTCTTTTAAAATAATTAATGTGCCACCATTTTCCACTGAGGATTTTTCAGTGTCAACTCAAATTATATCATACTACAAATTAGAAAAAAATCTAAAATGCTTGAAAGTGTGAAAGACATTTTATTTAATCAGTTTATGGCAACAATAGTTTTAGTGAAAACATAACATTTTATCAATTCATTCTATGAAATTCTGACACCATATATATTACAATAACATATATTTACAAACAGCCTCATAAGTTAGCAATATGTTATATACATGCTGCCCATAATAATTATTTTTCACCACAAAACTTATGTTAAATCTGAATTAATTTTTAGATCTAATCAGAGCGGACAAAAAATAGAAATTTAGCAAATTTTACATGTGGTAATTTTAAGGTAAATAAATTACATTTTTTTCTAGCTAGCTTCTCTTTTGTATTTAAATAAAGAATGGTGAGCTAATTAATAAGATATAAATGGCAATAGACTGGTTAATGTCCATACAATACTTGAGTAAGTTTGACTAGAGTAAAATACAGTATGTCCTCATTCTCCACTATAAAACCAAAGCAGTCTTTGTCCTTAGTCTAGTCCTATATATGGCACAAATATTGAACACATAAATTTAATCCTATTTCACTCCTGAATCCTCTAATACAAGTTCATCTAAACTGTCCTGGCACCGGAAGAGATTCTCAGCAGGGTTGTTTGCTGTGACTATGTAGCTGCCAGTCATGGAAGCTGATATCTCTCTATCTTGACCAGTTCCCTCCTCATCATTTTGGGAGCAATTACAATCTGGGGAAATAAAGATATAAGCGAAGCATAATCATAAATTTAAAATAAATATCAATCCACTTAACATAACATTTTTCCCTTACATATCTCTGCCCTGTTAATGTCATCCTCATTTAAAACAGTTACCTCAATTATTGATATTATAACACATTCCTTTTGTAATGAGGACATTTATCACATTGTTAAAAAACCATCAATGGTCAAAGGATTAAATAATTCAAAATCCCCCAAAAGCTTCACTAAAATTAAAAGGACATTCGCTAATTTATTTATCATGGTCTCTTTGAAAGTTGACGTGAACAAAAGGAACTACAAGAATCTCCAACCCCACAAACCTACCTTTTGTTTCCTCTGTTTTAGCTTCAGTTCCCGACTCACTTTCACTCTGAGAAATGGACCGTGTGCCCATAAACATATTGAGCGTTTTTAGCAGGTCAACGGGAGTACTCTGCACAATGGGGGAGCTTGGCCCACCACTAGAATTACTGGAAGAGGGAAGCTCAGATACTGAAACAAAGGAAGAAATAAAAATAACTGCATGCAGTTAGACAACTAAAAATTAGGAAATTTGAGGAATGCTATTTTTCTTACATTATGAAAATTGAAAAGCTAACTGATTGAGGGCATAACCTTTTCACAACCAAACAAATCGTATAATGCATCTGATACTGCCAAAGTGAGTTACCTCTGCCGGGAGAATATATACCAAGAACTGACTTTGCCCCAAGTGAAGCCAAGGCAATGGTCACATCTGGTACTGTGAACTTGTTAGTGGTGACTCTACCAAGAAAGTCGTCCACCTGGTGGTAGGTCAGGTTGTTGTGTAGTGTTTCCAAAGGGTGCAGCAAGGGGACATTGTTGAAACCTTCAAGGGCTGGAAATAAACAGTCAAAAGCAGTGATAAAATGAATGATTTCATCAACACTGGAGGTTTTAACAAATGTTCAGTATACATCTTTCATTGTGTTAAAAAAAATTAAAAGATTTTTTTTTAAATAATTTTTTTTTTTGTTTTGCGTGAAAAGAAAATTGAAGCATTGTGTGACAGTTTGAAAACCATCATCAGTCACATCAAAAGCTAATACTATAATAATTATGTAATATGATACTTAATGAAGAATTATTTGGTCAATTTTTTATGTTATTAATTTTAAGATTATTTAAAATGCTAAAAATAATTATAAATAACAAAAACTAATTTATAAAAAATCTTTAAAGTAAATTTGACTAGCAAAACAGGAAGAAAAAGTAATAAATCAAGGTGTTCATAAAATCAGGTTAGTTGCTCAGTTGGTTTTTAAAAAAAACAGTCATAGAGACTTATAATTTCATTAGCCAATACCTAAATATGTTCATGAAAGCAGATATATAAAAAGTTCTTTTTTATGGAAAAGCTGTTAAAATGAAAGCTAGAGTAGAGACTGTGAATGCAACACATGATGTAGAGTTAGGAATGTCCATTCTGGCGTATGTATAGGTACATCTTTGGAAACTGGTGCTTTAGTTAGAGAATTGTTTGAGGTGTAAAAAAAGCTTAAGTTGTGTTCACCCAATACTTCATATCAAGATCTTCTTACCAATACAGAAAAACAATTGACCGTGACCTATTTATATACAAGCAATTAATAAGGAACTATCCCCGAGAGCTCCTGCATATATAGTTTAGAATAAATGACAGCTAAATGAAGTGGTCTCATTACACAAGTCTAAGCTGAAACATTTTTAACCATTTTGTCCCCACCCAAGATTGATGTATAAAATAGCCGGCTTCAGTAACATGTGTTGAAATAAATACATTTCACCTTCTTCTGGTCAGTTGACACAGTTGCATAACAAGCCCTAATATTGAACAGTGGTTCATTCTGGGGTATGAGGGGGGGGGGGGGGTTAAGCATTTAAAAATTATTATTATTTTCTTTTGTACAGTGTTTCAAGCTTTTGGGTCATCAAAAATGTTTTTACTCAAGTTTGAGGAGATAAACAATTAATGTGACATAGGGTTTTAATAGGATAAAGATGAAGTTAAAATAAGTATGTAAAAGACTTCTGGCTCGAGATGAAAAGTTTTAAAAGGTCTACACTCGTAGCTTTTAGTTAATGATTAACACAACGGCTATAAAAGTTGACTTAAATTACGGTTACAATCTTTATCTTATGTAGCCTAAATGGTTTAACAACACAATATCACAGCACTACATTATCATAACATACCCCCATAGCATCATATCATTGAACTAACACTCCACCATAATAATTCACCTCCACAAAATTAGGCTACCACATCATCACGCCACCATGCTACTACCACCACCATTCTACCGCTTCCACATACTACCTGCCCATTCTACCATTCCCACACAACCTCGTACAACTTGATAAAGTTGTAGTTGACTAAGGGTAAGCAGCTTTTAGTGTGAAAGAGGGAGAGAGAGTGAGAGTAAAAGATAAAGAAAGATGTGAACATTCAATATTAACTCTCAGGCTTGAGTGTGTATAATATATTTAACTACATTTGCTTAAATGATTTCATACCAATTTAATGAGCTAGCCATGACATATGGTAGGCTAATATAATAAATTAGTCAAAGATGTACTTCTTTGAGTTGAAGGTGGGGGTATGAGCTAAGTTGCAGGCATATAAGAAATAGAACATCAAATGTGTCAATATAGTTAAGGGTGAAGAAAAGTGATAAAAACGAGAGGTGAAAAATAAATAAATAGACATAATAAAAAAAAAATGAAGTGTGAAAAAAGGCACATAACCAATAACAAAGAAAGAAGGTTTCAGGCTATTTGATTTATTTTGGTTAAAAATGATTGGTTTACTGTAATAAAAATTACTTTAAAAAAAACAATAAGCTGATGAAAATCATTAAATTTCTAAATTTACTTGACAAGAGGGTAAGATAAAAGGAAATAAGTCATTCATATTCAATTATTTAATTCCAAACACTCATGGGTACTACTATTACCATAGAAATTTTTAGTAATCATTACCCCAATAGTTGAGATTATATAATATGTAACAAATCAATTGGATAAAAAAAAACAAAAGGAAGGTATGTTGGATTTAAGGTGGTAAAACAAGGAAGATATGAAGTGGTGGAGACTGACCGATGAAAGTAACAAAAAAAATATTTTTAAACTTCATGCCATGAGATTAAAGCTGCATCAAGCTGTAAAATAAAGCTGTATCAAGCAGCAGTGAATAAAACAGCTGGATATAAATGACAGTCTACTAAAACATCTGATCTGTAAATACATGATCATCTGTAATGTCGGACAGGGCAAACATAAAGGGAGACTGTGCAAAGCAGATGATGCGTGTTAACTTTTAACAACCTGCTCGGAAAACCCAAAAATGTTCACCCAAAATTTTACAGCAGTTTAAAGGAAAATTTGCACAGAACTGTGAGCCATAGGCAAAGAAATATAACCATAGTAACATTAATCTTAAAGAGAATTTCAAGATTTGATAATTAAGTTACAAAATAAATAATTTTGAACAAGCTCAGAACATATATTTGTTATGGAAAGATAAGAATGTCATTGGAATGTATATTGGTCATTGGATTAAAAAAATGCGTCATTGGCAGTTGAAACATGGACGGTGGAGAGCTTCTCAAAAATGGGCTTCACCCATAATTGGTAAATATTGATTCTATGAAAAGATTGGTGACATTTAAACCCCAGGGATAAAATAAATTATTTGTGCTAGACTGGTTTTTATTCAAAACACTAGTTTGAGTTTGAGATATTTTTTGACATCCTTTCAAATTAAGAAATATACTTACTTTCAAATCACTTGTAAAAACACATTTATTCATCATAATTAAAATTTTA